CCCTTCCTCCACGGTGAGGCCAAACCCGAGAGGCGCCCCCCCCCCACGCCCCCATTCTGAGAACTCATCTTTGCTCCAGTGCTGACGCAGGGCTGATGGAGTGTCAAAGAGGTTTGGGAATGAGGGAGTTACTTCCATCCTTGGGGTCTCAGTTTCCACATCTCTCAGATGGGCTTCACGGGGAGGGGGTGTGTGTTTGCTGGGTGGTAAGAGTGTGAGTGCGGGGGACAAAGATGCTGGTGAGGACTGCTCCAGAGCCCAGCTGAAACTGCGGGCCAAGGAACCTTGGGTTCGTGTGCTGCCTCCCCACTTGCTGTCCTTGTGACCTTGGGCCAATCTTATCACTTGTAAAGTTTCTGGCACCCTGCCCTTGCCCCCGATGTGGGTAGAGTCAACCCAGCTCCCTGAATGCCTCCTGAACACATCCTCCCCCCCCAAAGTGGTGTGTGATGTCTCAGCCTTGCAAATCTGGCAGTAATTTATTTGGCCCTGTTCTAGCTCATTCTGTCCTTTCGGTTGCTGGAGTTTCGAACAGCAGGAATGAGGGAGAGGCTGCCCAGTGGTTTCAGGTTGGGCAATAAAGGCTTCTCTGGGCAGCTGGCCCTTCCAGGGCTGGGGGAGGGGACACAGGAGGAGGCAATCTGAGTGGCCAGTGTGGGGGTGCTGCGCTGCCCTGGCAGCCTTCTGCCCACTCTGGTGTCGGGAAATGTGGGGTGGGTGCTGGGCTTGCTGCAGGCGTGCTGGCACCTTCCCGCTCTTAGCAGCTAAGTTGGATTTGTGGGTCAGCCAGAGTGGCAGGGGTGCCTTGCCCCCCTTCCTCCCTCCACCCCCTTGCCTCTTCCGAGCTCTCTCTGTCCCCTTTTCTTCATCCCTAGCCATCTCTCACCTTTTCCTTACATTCCTTCCTCCTGAGGCCAGGAATCTTCCTGAAACATGCTCAAACTCTGGCTTGAAGTCCTCTGAAGGATCCCTCTTGTCGTCAGACTAAGTGCCACCCCTCGTCGCTGTTGCCAGCCTAACCCCAGACCTATCTCCTTCGGTCCTGCTGGCTTGCCCCTTGCATCCTACGCTGTGTCCAGTCTGTTTGCTCACCAACTGCCCCTCGGTGCCATTACCCGCCAGGCCCTCCCTGGTTCTTTGCACAAGCTATGCTTTCTTCTCAGAACTCAAACCACTTCTAACTCCGCTGGTGAGCTCCTGTTCCTCCTTTAACTCTCACCGCAGACATCACCTGCTCCCTGAAGCCTCCCTTCTTTACTCTCTGTTCGGCCCAGGAAGGAAGGGCGGGGATTGACCGAAAGAGCGAATTACAGCCTATAGGTGTGGTCTTCCTACGAGTGCGTGTCCTCTGCAGACAGCATCTGGTGTGCAGGCCACCTCTGAGTCCTTAGCAGACAAGGCTTGGTGGACCAGGCTCAGGCCTGGCTCACTTGCGCTCAGCAAGTATACAGGACTGGAGCCCAGTGGGTCAGGATTTGAACTGGAGATGCCAGATGGGGGCGCACTGACTCCATTGAAAGTAGAGATTAAAGAAACAGGTTTTCCCTCCAGGAATCTGGAAAATTCTGCTGGGGGATGGTGTATTGTGGAAAGGACACATTGAGAGCTCCTCTGGGATCTGTGAGTTGAGGAAGTTAAGGAACAGGTCTGCCTGCCAGCCCCGCCCCCCCAGCTCCCTTCACTGCCCTCCAACACGCCCAGCAACTGGTGGGGCTGTCCAGTCCTCAGCCCTTTGTGCTGAGGCGTCGGCAGTTGGTGAGAAGCATCAACCCCAACGGTCAGGCTGAGCATCTGGGGAGAGAGGGCAGGCCCGCGTCAGGAGGGGGAGGGAGGTTCTGGCCCACTCTGCCTCCGGCCTCAGGTGGGTGGGCTCACAGCTCTGTCTTTAGTTTTACCAGTGAGGGAGGGAGGAAAATGCTCCCTGTGGTGACCCATGGAGGTAGGCTTGGAGGTCAGCTGAGGTGTGAGCAGGTGTGATGCCAGCATCTGGCTAGTGTGTGTGTGTGTGTGTGTGATTGTAGCTTGGGGCATAGGACATTTGGGTGGCCTGGCAGGGTGTCTAACCAACTCTGTGTAGGGAGTTGACTTGCTTTGGCAAGCCTCATAGCTACTAGGATGTCTGGGTATTTAAGTGAAGTTTGGGTGCAGAGCTATTTGGGTGGGTGTTGTCTCAGTATCTAGGTGTGGGTGCCTACATACTACCATATGGGAAGGTCAGGGTGCACAGTGTCTGGACGTCTGGATGCGGGGGAGCCCTCAGGTTAATGGGGGTCAGGCGCCTGGGTGTTTGTGTGTTGCAGTCCCAAATGGGGCTGCCCAGATGCCTGGTGGCTGGGTGTGGGTCTCCTGAGTGTCTCTGTGTTTGGTTATCTATGAATCTAGCAATGGGGTACCCATGTACAGGAGCATCCGGGTGTTTAAGTCTGGGTGTAGGGTGCCTGTGGTTGGTGTGTCTAGTTATGTTGAGGTGTCTGTGTCTCCAGGAAAGGGGTGTTGCCTTTGTGGGGTGTCCCAGTCACTCTGCCCAGCTGTGGCCCTTGACACCCCCTTGCTGGGGTTTGCATCCTGATCTCCCTTTAGACCTCAGAGACCAGGAGCCCCCCTGAGTCAGTCAGTCTAGAGCTGCATTATGCAAAAGAACTTCCTATACTGATGGAAACGTTCACTGTCTGCACGCTAACACCATGGCTGTCAGTTCCATGTGGCAATTATATATTAATAGTTAAAATTCATCAAGCTAAAAATTTGTTAAGTCCCTTGTGCACCAGCCCAATTTCAAGTCCTCAAGCTTGCCAAGTTGCCAGTGGCTACGGTATTGATCAGTATGGGTAGAGAGCATTTGCATCATGGAAGAAAGTTTTCTGGACACTGCTGGTCTGGAGGTGTGAGGTCTAAGACCTCTTTAACGAGCGGCTTGGAGTTGGCCCGGATGTACCGTCACTCAGTGGCTTTGAAGGAGGTCTTGCTGAATCCCTGTCCCCTCTTTCCAGCCCATCATTTCTTGCCCAGTTAATTGCAGACTCCTTTCTGGTCTTATTCT